AATAAATTTAGACTATCATTACTCAATTTGACCCTGCCAATCTGAAAATATTATTTTGAAATATCAAAAGTAGAGATATCATCAGCTCCATGATACAGATAACCTTTAAGACGAGCACCCAATAAGGTTGAATATAAGAATGAGTATAAACGTGAAATAAAATAAATGGCGATACATGGAAAGACAGTTGAAAATTTTTTCTAAGCCATATTTTGTTTAAAAAATGCATATATTTGTTAATTTTTTAGATATGTTAAAACTTGTGATTAATAATGTGTGTCTATGGATAGTTTCCGATTCTTACAATATTCAATCCCTTGCCAAAAATGGCAGCAGTTTGGGTGTCAATATTTTATACAAAATAATTTAGTAAAATATTTGTTATTTTTAATGAAAACAAGGATCAACAAGGTAAGGCGTCGGGAGGCGTTCACAGAACAAAGAGCCCCTTAATTCCCGACAAAGCCCAACCACACAATCAAGCACGCCGTACCAAAATGACAGAAACAATGCCTTGAATACTAATAATAACTCATTTTATTATAATTTTATGCTTTTATAAAGTACATTATGATTTTGTTATTTGATATGCGGACTATGTATAGAATGGAAAAAGGGAGAAGCACTTATATTTCTATATTCATTACAAAACGTTTCACCAATGGACTTCTCATAAATACACTTGGTATGGCATTGACAATAAACCTTGACAATTTTATATACCTCCTGTATATTTCATCTTAAAACAAATTATTCAATTGCCTTATGTATACTTTTTGTTCCACAATTTCAACACAACATGTCCAATAATTGTCACCAGCCAGGCTTTTTGTAAATTTATCATCATTGTGATAGAATTATTAACACAATTTATGGACAATGTTATCGGAGGTTTTTGTAAAATAATAACATAGTTTCATATATTCATATTAATGTTTCCGATTCATTTTGATCGTTATCGCCAAACACACGGCGTCACAAATTGTATTTTACATTTATTATTTATCCTAATTGTAACAGATGTTAGATATATATCATTTTGAATATGAATAATATCAAAACAAGCTCTGTTGTGCATGTACACCAAGTTAAACTTATTATTGGCTATTTGTACCTTTCCTCTTCACGTTAAATAATATACTGTGTATTAAGACCATCATTACTCAATTCGACCCTGCCCATCTGGAAATTAGATTTCGCAATATCAAAGGTAGAGCCATCGTCAGCTCCATGTAACATAGGACTTTTAAGACTGGCGCCCTATAGGGTTGAATATAAGAACGAGTAAAACCGTGAGATGAAACAAACGGCGTTACATGGAAAGAAAGCAATTAACTAAGCCTTATTTCGTTTCAAAATATCCATATATTTCTCAATTCTTTAGATATGCCAAAACTTGTGATCAATAATGTGTGCGTATGGATAGTTCCCTATTTTACAATATTTAATCCCTTGCCAAAAATGGCAGCCAGTTTTGGAGTCAATATTCTTACCAAAATAATTGAGTAAAATGTTTGGTATATTTTAATGAAAAGGCGCGGGCGGCATTTACAAAACAAATAATAATAACTCATTAAAATTATATGCTCTTATATAGTACAATATATTTTAGTGATTTGATATGCGGACTATGTATAGAATGAAAAATGGGAAATACACTTATATTTCTATATTTATTACAAAACGTTTCATCAACGGCCTTTTCATAAATATACTTGATATGGCATTGACAATAAACCTTGACATTTTTTACTACCGCTTGTTTATTTAATCTTTAAACAAGCTATTGCCTTACGTTGTATACTTTTTATTCCACAATTTCAAAACAACATGTCCGATAATTGTCACCAACCAGGCTTTTTGTAAAATCATCCTTATGATAAATTTGTTAACACAATTACTGGACAATGTTATCAGAGGTTTTTGTAAAATAAAAATAAAAAGATAATGTTTTGATGTATTCATAATGATGTTTTCGATTCAGTTTGATCGTTATCGCTTAACACCAGGCATCATAAATTGTATATTCACATTTATTATTTATACTTTTAACAGATGTTAGATACATATCATTTTGAGTATGAATAATATCAAAACAAGCTCACTTTTTGCATGTACATCAAGTTAAACATATTATTGGCTATTTGTACCTTTCCTCTTCACGTTAAATAATATACTTAGACTATCATTACTCAATTCGACCCTGCCCATCTGAAAATAAGATTTCGCAATATCAAAAGTATGGCCATCGTCAGCTCCATATTATAGAGGACTTTTAAGACCGGCACCCAATAGGGTTGAATATTAGAACGAGTAAAAACGTGAAATGAAACAAACGGCGATACATGGAAAGACAAAGCTATTTACTAAGCCATATTATGTTTCAAAAATCCATATATTCTTTAATAAGATTTGAAAATAAAAAAGGATATTTTGATACCATTTATGAGGTATAATGGGCCTTCAAATTTGATTGTTTGTGTATAAAAACAGCAGCTTCCTATCATATGACAGAAATGTCGGTATATAATACTATACTGCGCATCCTCAACATGAGTATTTTGATTATAAAAAAAAATAATTGCTGATTTAGTGCATGAATGATTAATTGCTTTTACAGTATATGCACGTTATGGATAATAACTTATGTGTATTGAACAGTGATCTAAGCCATCTGTTTCTTGCCTGCCAAGATGTATTGATTTTCAACTAGTTTAAACAAGATATTGTAAACCTGTATATCAAAATTCTCTAATGTATATTAGGTATTTTCGTTGGTTTGGACAACAAAACAAGTACACCTTTTCACCTCATAGCTCAACACTTTTTAGTAAGATAATCATATTTTCAATCTAAAAGACGTTGGTAAGATCTTCAGTCGGAGAGAAAATCCTCCAAGACATTGACTCTCAGAATATCTCTCACTGATAATTCAGAAATCATGATGGTTAAGTTAGTACGTAGTTGCTCACTTGCAAAGGAATTGGTAATTAATTTATTGTAAGTTAGTTACCAAGAAAAAGCCGGCCAACAACGTATGGCCAAAATTTATAGCAGTCGATACAAAATTCAGTCCATAAAAATTAACAAAAAACAAACATTAATCTTATTGACTTCGTGTAAAGCTCTTATCAAAATTTATTTGTTATTATTTGCTCTATGGAAAAGAGATAAAAGTTTTAAAAATTTACAGACAATAGAATATGAAATTTAGTTGGAGAAATTCGAAGAGGTGGGACAAATGAATGTTTATGAAATTCAATCAATAATGTTCATAATGGATAATAAATTGTTATGATTGGGGAATGAATTCGGGTTTCATAATGAATATGACTAGATCATTTGACTTTGCTGTTTGGGTTTTGTTTTTCTTTGACTTTACGGTTCTTCGTTTCTTTGTGTTTTTGATTTTGTTCAGTATGTTTGTTGATCTATTTGTAGAGCATTGACTAGCACGTTATCCCAGTTATATTCTTTATCAACGTCTGTCTGTAATAAAAGAAATTGAAATCATATAATATGTAACATGTTTAGATTGATACTGCTCTTTGGGGGGGGGGGGGTGCGCGGTTGTCTAGTGGTTAAGGTGTCTGTCTCTCAACCCAGGGATCTTAGGTTTGAGCCCTAATAGGGTCACGACCATGTTTATTCATATGACACCAGTGAGGTTGTTTCCAGGAAGCGGACTCGAAAATGATTAATATAAGTTGCAAGATTTTGTTTCGTAATCGATATTAAATAAATATGTTTAAACAAATACTACTCTTAACACGAACACCAGAGGGGTACAAAGGGTACAAAAGGCCAACAAAAATAAAATAAAAATCTAAAAAGATATTTTGTACAAACTGCGCGCAACTACGAAAGCCCAGACGCCTTGTCCTTCCTTTTAACTTATTCCATCGTTTTTTGTTTTTTTTTGTTTCTAATTAGCGACTGAAAGATAACTTAAACTTCTTTAACTTAAACTTCTTTTTCATCAATACAAATGTTGGCATTATAAAAGAAGGTGTTTTTCTGTGACAATTAATGCCTATCGTTAACAAGGACAGTAGGTAATTAGGTTTAACAAATCAAACACATTCAAGTAAAATATAATAATATTTTGATTTCGTTATTCATTATGCTTTTATAATAATGATTTTCCGTTTAACTGTGTGATGAAATATTATATGGAAGATATTGTTAATAAAAAAAAATAAGATGTAAGTATAATAAAGACCTATACGGTAACATATTTCAAGACAATCAAGCATACAAATTTAAACTGAATGCCTGTGCATGTACATTAAAGGTATATTATTCCTCGGAATCGAATTAAGTTTTATTTCTTTAGAAAAGCCAAATATGAGTTTCATAGTGTTTATATAATGGTTTTAAAGCACTCTTATTGTATGTTACATCAACATTTTTAGTTTGATAAATGTGCAATTTGTCATAAAGGTGTCCAAATGTGAGAGTGCCAAATGTAAACAAAATAGTATTTAGACTCCCAAACAAAATACCAAATCACTATAACTGTACTCATTGCCAAAAGCAAGTTTCAAGAAATTGGTTAATGAGTAATATTTTGAAACTATTTAAGCACATCAAATATGTTTTTTTTTTCTTGTTTAAAAATAAAAATAAAATCATTTCTTGGGGTATACTAGACCTTTAAAATAAGGAAAATACAAAAATTAGAGCAGATATTAACAACAAAATCATTACCTTAAAAACGTATCCAATCTATCAGAAAATCGACAATTACACCACTAAATCATCTACTAGAATAACATGATATTGAAGTTTATTGAAAGTGAAAACACAAATGAATAATTAACTGTGTAAATGGTATAGCTTTGTGAACAACAGATTGGCAAATGGAAAATCAATGAAAAAAAAACACAACATAAACTATCCTCCCATATGTAGATAATTAGCCAATTACATACTTACATGTCGATTTAAAATTTTAATATTTGGGATGATCATTTTTGATTAACCAATCAGTAAGAAACATGTAATGTTTATGTCAAAGACTGCCGGGAAGTGTAATATTTTTGTCAACAGTTTATGATTATAAATCTAAAGGCAACACATCATCGGAATACAAGGATATTTTTCGGGAGTTTAAATTCATCAACATATAGTTGTTTGGATTCACTTCGTGAAAGATGATAATTATTCAGCTAGCGTTAGTTCTGGCAATGCTACAGGCATCGGGCGGCACCGGTAAGCGACCATTTTATTGTAGCAGAAAGCTTTGTATCACTTTCTTTCATATAGTTATCGTTAACTATTTTTCTGCTCATGGATATAGAATATCATTTAACACATTCAACTTAATTTTCAAAATTTCTAAACCTATCGTGTGACTGCTTCTTAGTAATTAACTAGTACTGGTAATATCATTCTGGTCATTCGGGAACATTGATTCAAGTTGATGACGTGTTGATGAATGAATATTGCTTAACTCTTTGTTAGAGGCGTGGCAGATATCACTATTTCAAAGTATTCATTTTTAAATTTATTTGTCTTTACGTTTAAAGCTCCATCGCGAAAGCTTTTATTCACCTTTTATGCCTTCAATTCTTCCTTCTTGTTTTAAAATATATATTGGGTATCGTTCGTCTATGTTTGAGGTACTTTGTTATTGTTATATCAAACTGTTTTTGTGTTGGCTCAATTGTTCGCAAAACACAGGCCCCGTATTTTCTGTTGTATTCTATAAGTTTTAACTTATTTCAAATGATTTGATTTTGAATTTAACTAAATTTACACTGGCGTGAAGTGATAATCAAAGCTTATTATGTTCAGCTGTTACAATAACTTATTTTTTTATCTTGCTTGTATCATCAGTGTATTCGTTTTTACCCTAAATTGACATGTTTTATTAAAATTATTTTGTTTTGTCTTAATAAAAGAGAAAAAGACCTTAAGAAAATGCATTTCACGAACTAGAATTTGAATTTTAATTGAGCAAACTTTGGTTATGAGCTTAAAACCATGCTTGTGAAATATTAATCTTGAAGCAATTTCTTTTTGTATGATATGTTATTTAATATTTATACATGTATACGGTATTCTATTACGACAAGTATTAACATGATTTCTACACCTGTGTACAAATTCAAATATGTTTTGTATTGTACAGAACTGTTAAATAAACCATTTTTTGTAATACATATTATAATTAGTTTAAGCAAACGCAACATTTGACGATGTTCTAACAGATCGGTTTTGCATGGCGTTTTCAAATCTCTTTCTTTAAAATACATTCGGATACTTTTTGTCGTTAACATATCATATCCGTGTCATATCATGCGAAGAGTCATATAACAGTGATTTATAGAATACTATATTGTGTAAAATGCAAATTGAGCGACTGGATATTGAAAAATCACAAATATAAAACTAACATATATAATATCATTCTCTTGCAGATGTACAGCTCGACGACCGTTACGCTTCTACACTGAAGCAATTACTGTATTCGTCAAACAACTGGAACAAACGAGACCTAAGTCCCCACAATAATGAAAATACTAACAACAATAATCCACACAACAACGGTAATGGATACAACAACAACAACAATAATAACAACAACAATAATAATCAACACAACAATGGAAACAAACGAGACACTACTCCCAACAATAATGGGGAAATAATCCGCATAATAACGGAAATGGAAACCACAACAACAATAATAATAAAAATAATAATAAAAATAACAACAATCCACATAATAACGGAAATGGAAACACAAACAACAACAATAACAACAAAAATAACAACAACAATAATCCACACAACAACGGGAACAAACGAGACTTTACTCCCAACAATAATGGGGAAAATAATCCGCAAAATAACGGAAATGGAAACAATAACAACAATAATAATAACAATAATACAAATCCACATAACAACGGAAATGGAAACAACAACAACAACAACAATAATCCACACAATAACGGAAACAAACGAGACCTTACTCCCAACAATAATGGGGAAAATAATCCGCATAATAACGGAAATGGAAAACAACAACAATAATAATAATAACAATAATAACAATCCACATAACAACGGAAATGGAAACACACAACAACAACAACAACAATAACAACAACAATAATCCACACAACAACGGGAACAAACGAGACCTTACTCCCAACAATAATGGGGAAAATAATCCGCATAATAACGGAAATGGAAACAACAACAACAATAATAATAACAATAATAACAATCCACATAACAACGGAAATGGAAACACCAACAAACAACAATAACAACAACAATAATCCACACAACAACGGGAACAAACGAGACCTTACTCCCCACAATAATGGGGAAAATAATCCGCATAATAACGGAAATGGAAACAACAACAACAATAATAATAACAATAATAACAATCCACATAACAACGGAAATGGAAACACAACAACAACAACAATAACAACAACAATAATCCACACAACAACGGAAACAAACGAGACCATACTCCCCACAATAATGGGGAAAATAATCCGCATAATAACGGAAATGGAAACAACAACAATAATAATAATAATAACAATCCACAATAACAACGGAAATGGTGGACACCAACAACAACAACAATAACAACAACAACAATCCACACAACACGGAAAAACAAACGAGACCTTACTCCTAACAATAATGGGGAAAATAATCTGCATAATAACGGAAATAGAAACACAACAACAATAATAATAACAATAATAACAATCCACATAACAACGGAAATGGAAACACCAACAACGACAATAACAGCAATAACAACAACAATAATCCACACAACAACGGGAAAAACAAACGAGACCTTACTACCCACAATAATGGAGAAAATAATCCGCATAATAACGGAAATGGAAACAACAATAATAATAACAATAATAACAATCCACATAACAACGGAAATGGAAACACCAACAACAACAATAACAACAACAATAATCCACACAACAACGGAAACAAACGAGACCTTACTCCCCAAAATAATGGGGAAAATAATCCGCATAATAACGGAAATGGAAACAACAACAACAATAATAATAACAATAATAACAATCCACATAACAACGGAAATGGAAACACCAACAACAACAATAACAACAACAATAATCCACACAAAACAACGGAAACAAACGAGACCTTACTCCCCAAAATAATGGGGAAAATAATCCTCATAATAACGGAAATGGAAACAAACAACAACATAATAATAAACATAATAACAATCCACATAACAACGGAAATGGAAACACAAACAACAACGAATAACAACAACAATAATCCACACAACAACGGAAACAAACGAGACCTTACTCCCAACAATAATGGGGAAAATAATCCGCATAATAACGGAAATGGAAACAACAACAACAACAATAAAAATAACAATAATAACAATCCACATAACAACGGAAATGGAAACACCAACAACAATAACAACAACAATAATAATCCACACAACAACGGGAACAAGCGAAATGAAAACTAGAATAATGATGAAAACAATAACGATAATCATTGAACAAACAACAACGACATTAATGATGATAATAATGATGACGATGACAACGACCAGAACAAGCGAGATCCTACTCCCCACAATAAAGAGAACAATCCGCATAATAAAGGAAACGGTAATAACAACAACACCCCACACAAAAAACGGAATTAATACAATAAAAAATAATTTTAAAAAAGGAAATTTGAAAAAAAACAACAAAACCAAAAACCACTTTTTTTATAAGAAATCAAGATTTTTTTTAGTTGCTGCCAAAACGAACAAACAAAAAAACGTTTGGGGGGTGATAAAGTTTCTAATTAAACAACTTTATGTAAACAGTTTTTTTATCACATCAAGAACATGATAATAATTATAAGACTTATGAAATATATTATTCAGAAATTTATCATTTTTGTCTTGTCTTATCACTGTCATTGGTAACAAAAGCAGCACAAAGGCTGGGTAAATCTGCGACAGAATGAAAACTGTTTTGAATAATACGACCTTCAAGTTAGGGAAGAAACGCATTCAAGAAACTTGTCTGCAAAATGCTTAAGCCTCATTACCGCTGTAATTCTAAATGACAAACCAGGGTGTGGTCAATTTTGACCATAAGTGCATGATTGGAAGAAATTTTGTAAAGGTCGACTTGGCAATACGTAGGCACGTGATAGTATAAAGTTGCCATGCAATAGCTAATACGTGAGCTCTCAATACGTATTACGTGGGAACGTTATCTGTTTACGTGCAACGCCACCTAAGCATAAGGGCATAAACGAAGAAATTTTGTATATAACATAAGTAAAAAAAAGTTTCCCAATTATTTTACGGCTCACGTTAATTCACGCGGTCAATAAAATCTATCCAATCCATGTAAGCTAGGCTTGCTACGTGATAAAAATGGGTTTTTTTGGCCATTTAATCCCTCGTTTTCGCCCTTTAAAATCAAAAAAATTGTTGAGGGTTTCTTAATAAAATTGTATAAACATTTATATAAAGAGTTTCGATCTGGGACAATATATCATCATGTAATATATAGTTACGGACCACGTATCTCACTTTTGCCAACAACATATACATATATTTGTCCTTTGTTTGTTGTACCGTATGATAGTCAATACTATCAAACTATACTTATGGTAGATGAGCTTCCAGTTTTAATATCAATTTTGCGATGATTCTCGAGGCAATGCTACAAAAAGAATTTAGCCCAGGCATTGTAATAGAGTCATTCAATAAGCGCTAAATATACATTCATATATAAGTTTAGATCAATCGAGAGAATCCGGGGCGGGGGAAATTTTGATCTGCGGAAACCTTGACATGTGTTTTGCACACCTTCACATTATGAGTAATATTTCTGTTAAAAAGTTTAAATTCCCTTCTATCGGTTCAGAAGGCGAAATTTTGAAAATCATTATATTAAGAGAGTGCACCCTTAGGGATATGTTCCCCTTCTTTTTAAATTTGCTTTTGGTCATTGTGAACCAGGTTTAAAAACCTCGGGCCCCCTTTTCAAAATTTCATATTTAGTTCCCCCCCTTTTTCCGTTTCAACCCCTTTTTATTCCTGGGACTCCCCTTTTTGGAATGGCAGGAAGTTCACATTAAGGGTTCATAAACCGCCGATAAACCATCGCATTTCAAATTCAAAATTTTTAATTTCAATTTTAAATTTTTAAATTTTTAAGCCGTCGGGGGCTGGCTAAAAAAGCACTTTCCTACCGGTCCTGAAAACCTTTTAAACCCCTTCAAAAATTTTTAAAATTTTTTCTTTTTTTCTTTAATTCTGTTTTTTCAAAATCCATTTATTAAGATAGTGTAATTGACCTTGATCTGAGGGAGGCCAAAAATGCACTCGTACACAAAATTTTAATACTCCTATAAAAATGGCTTATTGTGACTCTTAACTTGACCAGAGGAAGGTAAATTGAGAATTCCGTGCTAGTGTCTGATTATGCACAATTTATAAGGCAGCGCTTATAGAAAAAAAACGAAAGACGAGGTTCTGCCGAATCCTTTATTTTTTCGTGCCGAGGTTGATAAATTTCTTATCAGACACTTTTTATATGCCCAAAAGAATTTCGGGCATATTATGTTATATCCCATGGCGTCCGTCTGTCCGTCCGTCTGTTAGCAATTTGGTTTCCGGAGCATAACTTAAGTTCCATTTGGCCCACAATATTCAAATTTCATAGGATGATTGTCCATATTGGGTAGAAGACCCCATTGATTTTGCGGTCACAAGGTCAAAGATCAAGGTCACTTTTACCATTAAACTGAAAACAGTTTCCGGGATATAACTTAGGTTTCATTTGGCCAACAGTGTTCAAAATGTATAGGATGTTTGTCTATATTGGGTAGAACATCCTCATTGATTTTGGGGTTACAAGGTTAAAGGTCAAGGTCACTATTACTTTAAAACTTAAAACAGTTTCTGGGGCATATTTTAAGTTCCATTTTGCCCACAGTGTTCAAACTTCATAGGATGATTGTCCATGTTGGGTAAAAGATCCTTATTGATGTTGAGGCCACAAAGGTCAAGGTCACTATTACCTTAAAACTGAGATAAGTTTCCAGAGCATATCTTAAGTTCCATTTGGCCCACAGTGTTCAAACTTTATAGTATTATTGTCCATATTGGGTAGAAGATCCCTATTAATTTTGGGGTCACAATGTCAAAGGTCAAGGTCACTATTACTTTAAAACTTAAAACAGTTTCCGGGGCATAACTTAAGTTCCATCTGGCCCACAGTATTCAAACTTCATTGGATAATTGTCCATATTAGGTAGAAGATCCCCATTGATTTTTAGGTCACAAGGTCAAAGGTCAAGGTCCTTATTGAAAACTAAAAACTGAAAACCGTTTCCGGAGTATAACTTTAGTTCCATTTCGCCCACAATATTCAAACTTCATAGGAGAATTGTTATTTGAATGAGATAATAATTTTTTTAATTCCCATGGCTTACAAATGTTTCATATTTACTTTAAAAACCATTTTCGGGCATATAATGTTCTGAGTAGCGGTGCTCTTGTTTAGTATTTTGTTTGCAATTGTGCATTTCGTTTCTTTCATTAAATTTCAATTAAAATAAAAAAAGAATTACTCTTTCGAGTTCATACTGAGAGCAATAATATGCCAAGGGCCATATCTAAAAGTCAACTATAAGAGAGACTTGAATATTCAAAAAGTCTATGTAATTCAATGTTTAATATCAGTATTAATATTTTCAAACTAATTGTAGGTAAATTATTCCATTCACTTAATTTTGTTTCAATATATATTTATGAGGTGTCAGATAAAGCTGAAGGTGACTGATCATGCTAAATTTATCAGGCATGCGGGACTTTAACTCGCAGTGATGATATTAGCAATTAGATTGAAGTCTACAACAATGACAATTCGACCAGATGCACTAAAGGATGAAAGTACAATTGTTTTAGGTTATTTTTTTCTTAAATCTTTATATGTTTTTTTTTTCCCCACACGAATCACTAAAAATGTCCACTTAAATTGGTTTCTTCCGTAAAATTATGAAAGAATTGTAGTTCATAAGCCACTGGATGTTGGCTTTTACACAACATTGCCGATAGTTTTGGTCGTATACAAAACTGTCAGCATTAGTTTATTTTTACATTAAAGGACGGAAGTATATAAGTACGTTTTATATAAGCAAATAAAAGAGACAATCCATTGAAAAATTCCCCTGATTGCCAATTTATATTCAAAATAAAATCATTCAAAAATTATATTGTCTAACGAGAAATGAACTTAAATATTCATAGAATCAATAACGAAACTCAACTTTTTGAGATGCTCCCCTTTTTGATCATTATAAAGCTGGTCATATAATCCCGATTTAGAATTATTTGAAAATGTCAACTGAACAACATAAACTTAAACAATTTACAAAAACCACATGACCAGTTATCGTCAGCTGTGTTTTTGACGAAAGTGTTTAACAAGACGCTTTTAGTTGCTTTGTCTTACTTTGGTACCACCACACGCTGCTTTTCATGGAATGATACTATCGTAACACA